GTAGTAAGTAAAGTGCGTGAATCGTTCGTTGAGAATTATAGCGTGTGTTTAAGTGTGGAAATTAAGTGTATTGCAAAGTTGTATTGAGAAAGAATGAACTAGTTTTATTTAAGAAAGGACTTGTATCGTTGAAGTTTCTAGGGAAGAATTTATGCGGGAAATTAACAAACGAACAGTGACGTAACATTATGTAAACCACACTACATCCGCTATATCCAGTGCCAACGAGGATTTTCGCTCAATACCAGGGATTATGGGACCGGCTGGGATACGATAGACAAGGCAGTAGTCTAGGTCTCTAGGAGTAATTCACATCATAATTTGTACGCACAATAACGGTTCCAGTGTGATCTAGATTAAGTAAACAAAGTGAATAGTATATCTAAATCCCTGTGTTATAAGAAAAATAAATTACCAGGTTTATCTTACTGTGTGTCAATGCTCAAATGTCGTTTAATTATCTTAAAATCATCTCGTTCAAATGCATTAAAACCATGTCGCTTGTCTGTCTTAAAATCTAATATATAGTTTTTATTGTATTCGATCTTTTGAGACTGCATATAATTTAGCAGTTTTCCAAAATAAGGTGTTTTTGAAGAAATCTGTAACAATTAACTGGATGACAATACTATATTATATAATAAGTGATCATATCGATGTCTTATTTATTTTTAACTTTACATCACAAGGTATAGTAACGCTTTCCGTAAAAATACATTGTAAACTTACATGGAAAACATTGATCACGTTATAATCTGGACACTCCGCCCCTCTTCGAACACAACTAAGAGCTATTGAAACCTGTAAAAAAGAATAATTAACACAATTAATTGATCTTAAGTGTTGATGTTTACTTTTAAATGTCTTCACTCAGCTTTAAATAGGGGTGGGGCAAGTAATATCTTTGGTCCAATTTCGGATATCCAGCTTCTGATATCCGCTCCGATTCGAATATTTTTGGGTGGATAGTAGATGTGGCGTGGCCTTACGTATTGAAAACTCGCCGCAGGCACGTGCTATCTTTTCACTACAGTAAATTATCAAACTAGTTAGTTTGTTATTTATTTTTGAAACTTCAACCAGGATGTTACAACCCGATACCCCAACTAAGAATGTTCTTTGGATTGTGCTTGCCATCGTTGTCGCTGGTACTACACCCGTACACGGTGGCAATACAATAGGTGGTGGGTGTAATGTTTATTTAAATTACATAATTATATAATACGATTTTCAAGGCCCCACTCTTTAACACTTGGGATAATGTTAGTGAGTTTAGAAAGCTATTAACAAGCACCAGTGGGCTAGATAACGTAATACATATTATGTGTGATGCACGTGCAAGTGCCTCATACGTACATAATATTGTGAGGTAACATGTTGATTAAGAAACCATATCATTACCTGATTTATGGTCAAATTAAAATCCGATTGAATATTGGTTCGATACTTGTCCCATCCCTAGTCCCAAGGTTATTCATAATATCAAAAAAAGATGCCAGAAATAACAAGGACAATGTAATTGACATGTTTAAGATGCCAGAAATAACAAGAACAATGTAATTGACATGTTTAAGATGCCAGAAATAACAAGAACAATGTAATTGACATGTTTAAGATGCCAAAAATAACAAGAACAATGTAATTGACATGTTTAAGATGCCAGAAATAACAAGAACAGTGTAACTGACATGTTTACTTGAAAAATTATGCTCATTATTTGGTAAAAAAATAAAAAATAATGATAAACCATACACTACAGAAATTAGGTGATTAGAAAATAACAGACGTCTTACAGCACTGGAAGAAACACGATTGGAATACAGCATCACTCTTATAAAGCACACAAGATTGGGCGATAACGATACCTTGGGCCCAGAGTCCAGGACATGCTCGGCAAAAAAAAAAAAAAAAAAAACAACGAAAAATCATGCACTACAGAAATTAGGTGACTAGAAAATAACAGATGTTTTACAGCACTGGAAAAAGCACAATTGGAATACAGCATCACTCTTATAAAGCACCCAAGATTGGTCGATAACGGAACCTTGGGCCCACAGTTCAGGATATGCTCGGCCTTTACGATTTAGCCAATTCTAATAATATTGTTACTAAAACCGATCTTTTTTAACATTTTTTTCCTTATAATTAATTAACGGGCGGTGGTATGATAAAGCTGACATTATTCGTTTTAATAAGGAACAAGTTAAAACTTCGTTGAGGTCACGGTTAGCACATGCTACAGTTGGTAAAATGGATTTATAATTGACAACATGCTGGAAAATGTATTTATTGGAGACACCGTTTCAATACACTTTCGTGAATCTTCTACAGTCTTCAAAACCTAAAGTAAATCCACGAAAGTATCGAAACGTCGTCTCCAACAACAAAATCTTCCAGTAGTTTGTTCATTATGTATTCAATTTTAAGAATAAGTTGAAAATTGTAATGGTACAATTTCGACCTTGCTACACCAATGAACTTCTGATACTAAAGTTACAACGAACTTACCTGCAGTATAGCTAAACTGATTATTATACAATATCTCATGGCAGCTTCAAAATGTTCGTTCTCCTGAAAAACCTGTATGAAATTATCAAATAAAAGTTATTTATGAAGCACAGCTGTGTTCTGTATAACTTTCATAATTCTAATCCTCTTACTGAATTACTGAAAGCGATTTAGACTATCATTTTAAATTACAAAAAACTTTTTCTTTGTTGTTTTTTCTTTTCTTCATTCAACTTAGACTTAATTGCAGTACGTGTATGCATATTACAAATCAAAGATTTGTTTTGAGAAATCAATTGCTATTCTAAAATCCCGAGGAATATTTGACAAACTAAATAAATAATATTGTTAAACTGGTTAACTTACGAATATCAGCAATTATCTGTCTCTTCACTTTACTGAATATAAACTGATGTAATGAAAAGATTTACTTCGGATGTCGAAGGCAGACTACAAAGAACAGCTGATTACGCAAGAGTGTCTCGCGTTACTTTGTCAACACAGCTTCCTGACCAATCATAAGTTAGCACTGTGCATAATATAGAGTCATGTGATTCACTCAAACATGTATCTCAAATTTGTTTAATTCCATTATTATTGATATATTGCTTTTTAACACTTATACAGTTAAAAAAGGGCCGAATTTCAGAAACTTTAAAAGGTAAAATATTAATTTTCTTTACCCGTACATCAGTGGCGCTAGTGTCAGACGTAGAGGTCGTTTCCCAACAGTATTCACTATATATATATATTATTTATGAAGACTTTATTTTGTCTTCATCAGCAAGAATTTAATATCTCGCTGCGATATGAGAATGAATAGCTTGTAGGTATTTGTCTTGTGAACGTTTCATATCCAGAATATTAAAACATGTTTTGCTATTGATTTTTAGAAACAGGAACAATTATAACTTAGAATATCAACTCAGCTGGAAACAGTTCATATTCAGTTCTAGTTTTGTTGATGGTAAGCACATAACTACACAAAAGGCTACGTGGTCCACCACGGGTATTAAAACTCGGTTTTTAGCGTTGTAAGCCTGCAGAAGAGATTACCTCTCCTTCCCCAACACTTTAAGGAATACAGTAAACACAAATTGAGATGATTTTTTTCTGAAAAGCTGCAAAAATCCCGACGAAATTTCATAATGTCATGTAACAGTAGTTTCATTCAGTAGCGTCCAATCAGAAGCTGTGTAACATATCATTCAGTAGTAGCATCCGGTCAGAAGCAGTGTAACACACCATTCTCTGTTTTAGTACACACACACACACACACACACACAACAAAACCATCAGGCAAGCTTTGACATTTCATAAACTTTATTAAACCTATCAAGTATATATAGTTAAACAGTTATTATTAAACCTGTTAAGTATGTACACGTGAAACAGACAGACAGCTAACAAAAGCAAACATCAAACATAAACGTGTAAATTGGAACAACATACTCCTTCTTAGCAATGTTAACAGTTTTTTGTACATTCTGTCATGAAACATTACCTTTATTCAGTATCAAATGTTTAAGAAATGCTACTTTACTCCTATTTACCCGTAATAAAAAGTAGAAACGTACATTAAATGTATTTATATGTACTACATAATGTCGGTCATAATAAACATGATGAAACTATATATATATATATAAGTTAAATTCAAGTGAAACTTGGTCTAATACATCTTAATAATAACGTTTCTTATAGCCATTTATACTTACACGTTTATAGACACAGTAATTCTATATCATCAACATATCTTTTAATCATGATGATACACGATAATATATTCTACAATATAAGCTTCAGAACTTCAGCTACTTCTCTATTCTAAAGCTAAAGACAGCGTTTAGCTTGAGCACATAATGAGCGGAATCTCAAGTGTTAAATCCCTGCTGAAGTTCGTCCAAAGATAACTTTGTTTACAGCCAGCTTGTACTATATTAGGTTGAGGGTTATTTTGAAGTAATGTTCAGTGTATTGTTAATACAGATTTTGGTTAGACTAACTTTCTGGTCACAGTAGACAGTGTGCCAGGAAGGGAGTTCCTTACATGTGTATCTGGTTGCTTTTACTTGAGAATGTGACCCACTGCTATAAAATGACAATATAGCGAAGTTGTTGACAGTACACATTAAAGTAAGCTGTAGAATAAATTTAAATTATTTTAAGCCCTTCTGATTATACAACAGTTTTGACTTATCTACATACGTTAGTTAAGTATTGGAGAAAAGTACTGAAAATCACGATTTGCCTGTATATAAAACGGTCTCCTATATTCGCAGATAATGTTGCGAGGTGAAAGTAGACTTTGCGTACAATATTTTCTTCCACAGCTTCTGATTGGCTTATAATATAAACTTCTAAATCTTGAAACACGAAAAACATTATTGGAAAATTTGATTGTGAAAATGCGAAATCTTTAAGGTGCTTAGTTTTGATTTTATGGTTCATATGAAAACGAGTGGTAATTCTGATTTTACGTCAACACATCTTAGCTGGGAGTATACAACATCCTGAAACAAAGTGTCATGAAAAAAAAAAAACGAACACCTCATGTCGACTCTAACACATACATGGAAAGGTTTTCTCTAACAGAAAACCAAGTCAGACTTATTCCTTAAAGTATGTTGAACGAATTTTTTTGACAAGCCCCCCCCCCCACCGGCACAGCGGTATGTCTACGGAATTACAACGCTCGAAACCGGGTTTCGATACCCGTGGTAGGCAGAGCACAGATAACCCATTGTGTAGCTTTGTGCCTAACTACAAACAAAAAGAATCTTTTGACAATCTCCTCCTTGACTAACTTTCAAAAGTTTATATATGAGCTTACCTTGATATTCAATAATAATGATTTAAAGAAATTGCACAAATTGTAATTTAGAAGTAACTTCAGTGACTTTGGCTTTAGAAATATTTACTCAGTGTTATTTCGCCAGAGCATGTTGAAATGAGTCTACGGTGTACAGTTTCTCGACTTTGCCCTTATTTTTATCCAGTTATATTCAACTTTGGTCAAACGATTCGAATAATTTCATTTTAAGCAGGTTTGAAAAACTTGTTTGTATACATGATACATATACAGTTTAATCATTTTCAAGATGCTACGTAATCAGGGTAACAAGATCTCTATATCACGTGAGCATGAATAATCAAATGAATTTCTTTATTAGTTATTCCTTTGCAAGACAAAAATATGACTGATCCGTTCATTATGCCATAGAAGTATTTGTTTCATATAACTTTATATAACTTTTTCAGCAAGAATAATTTTCCAAACTGACCTAAACATAATTAAAAACAAAAACGACAAAAAACAAACAATAATTACGAGTTGCCTCTTGATAAATCAATATACAGGGATCCCTCGATAAATGCGCATTCGATTAATGCGTTTTCGTTTAGTGCGCTTAAATTTTTTTATAACCAATATTCGATTAGTGCGGTAACACACATTTCATTTTAACCATAGTAATTGAAAAGTAAGTTTTAGGCACCAAAATTAATTTTTTTTTAAATTAAAAATAGAAAATGGG